AATGATGGGTGCACTATTGTGAAAAGGTGAATTTAGAATTTATATTTGACTGGTTTAACTTTAGTTTTTTACCATGACCTATTACACTTTTAAAATTATAGGTTCAAATTATATTCTTTTTGAAATTCTAAAAATTTTCACTTATATATATATACTCCGTACAGAAAACAAGACCGCTCAGAGTGAGATTTGAACTGTCAATTTCACATGTAGAGGTGTACCCAATAATAATTGTACCATAATCGTCTTTAGCATGAGTTCATGCACATATATTTAAGCAATTTTGAAGAAATATAATATTATTATACATGATTTAGGGAGAGGAATATAGGTTCACGTGAACTCATACCCCTCTACTTCAATACGCCTCTGCTGCTCAAGGTACAAGTCGTTTACAGCTAAGCTACAAAGTCGTTAAAGCGAAGCTACAAAGGATGTGATTAGAAATACAAAACTATTCAATATTTCCGACACACTCTTTGTCCCTTCGCTGGTTGTCTTTCTTTCCCTTTTATCTATGTTTTAGTGTCCTATTATTGATTAATCCTTTCCCACAGAGAACATAAGTTTCTTTATTTGAATCAATTACAAAATATTTGCTGGTCCCAGCCCCAACAGTTCCCCCCAAAAAAAAACGAAGAAAAGAGTGGGGTCCACGGATTGCTACAGAAACATCTGGATATGTTGACCGAATGACATGCATGCTCCTTCCTGTGATGTCACTTTGCAACTATACACGAGTCTGCACGAAGCTTAACCACGTACAAGAAATTTCAACACCTTATGAGCTCAACAAATTACTACTACTAATTTTCTCCAATTTATAATCTTAAATACATCATCAGCCACCTTTTTGTAAAATAATTTTATCCTAAACATGAAATATATATTTGATTTGTGTGTCATAACGAGTTGCATGGATATAATACATATGGCAATTAAACAAATATGCATGATCACACTAACTTAAGCAGCGTCCACATGCTTTTGATTTCGTATCAGTTTCACACTCTATATTGAACAATATTAACTCGTACAAATTAAATAATTGGTGTTGGAGATAATGAAGAAAAAAAGAAGCATTATATAATTCAAAGTTTGTTGAGGGCCATTGAACACCTCTCAACAATAAATAACGACATTCACATAACAACAAATTGTTATTTTCCGTTTGTGGACGGGGGAAGGGGGTGAAGAGGTCAACTCTAATGACGTGGTAGCTATTTAGGGCAAGTTCCCCATAAGCAAGCCCTAAATTTGTGACAAGTCAGTACTGGAGGAGATATATTTTTTGTGTTAATTAGTAAATCCAAGAATTTTTGCCATGCTAATAAAGCTATTTTTTCTAATGGTGACGAATTACAAGATGATTTTTACTCTTAAACAAAGATTAGCGAACATGCGACGGCTTAGCTAGAACAAAGTACGGAGTTTTTCTTTGAAACTTTGCCTTTTTTAATATATAATAGTCAAATTAATAGAGACAGGTGGCAAGTTTCGATCGAGATAATCTCCATTATCTTGTTAATTAGTACTGTGGTTTTCTCAAGGATTTCATGATTAATATTATTTTAGCAGTTGATGAGATTGAGTTGTCCCATAGACACCAAACAGGGAACAAAAGATGAAGATTATCATCTCATTAGAATATTAATTTGCCAGTAATACGTACTAATGCTATTTCCTCTTTCTGCTCCCTACGCATACGTAATATTTCAAAAATTACAGCTAAATATTGTACTAGTAAGTTGGAGATAAAATTACGCAGTGTTTCTTCTAGAACAAAGTAGTATAATAAATGAAGTGGAAAAAGAGGTAGACAAGGCAATTAAGCAATCCTAAAATGTTTTCTGACTTTGGATTTGCTGAAATGCTTGTATTACTAGGAGAAGGAAGTATTTGACGAATTTGTTTCGTTAGCTAAAAGTTTGATGAATCAAATACCAGAAACTCAGCGACTTTGAATTTTAGGCTGCTTTAGGAGAGGTTTTAGAGTGAGCCCCAAAGCATTACCTGCTGGACTGCTACAGTGGAAAAAAGACCATATTTTCTTGCCTTCTGGTTCTATTGTATATAAGTATTAATTAGAAGGGGTATCTTTCAGCCGAAATTAATGCTACACAAGACAAGCTAACACTTTTCAGCCGAAATAACTTCGGCCTTTTCATTTATTTCTTTTGACGAAGCAACTCGATGGGGACTTGGACAGTGGCGGACCCAGAATTTTGTGCAAGCGGGTTCAATCTCAGAAATACATAACTTTAGTCATAAAATAATAGTTGTCAAGTCGGTTCAAATAAAATATTTATACAAAATTTACGCAACTTTAATCTTAATTTATACATATACACAATATTATTTTTTATGAAGTGAGTTCAGTTGAACTCGCTTGCCACCACGTGCGTCCGCCACTGGCCTTGGAGCAATAGTAAAATTATTTTCGTGTGACTTATAAATCATGGGTTCGAGCGTTGGAAGTAGCCAATAATGCTTGCATTAGAGTAAGCTAATTACATCATACCCCTTAGGGTGTGGCCCTTCCGAGAACCTTGTGTGAATATAGGATACTTTGTGTATCGTGCTACTTTTTTCTTTTTGATGAAGCAACCTGAAATTGATCAGCAATTATTACATTTTAACTTCTTGTTCTTTTTTTTTAGTCTTCTTTCTACAGAATAATTTGCAAATCTCCACGAGAAAGGTCAAATTGAAAATGGCTGATCGCTAAACAAAAATTCAAATTTATAAATGATTAATTAAGTTTATATATGTCTTGTTCTATGTACAATATGTCATTATATATTCCAACAGTCTTCTAATTGTTGTAAGAGAGTCAGAATCAATTTTGAACCGATTTCACTTCACTGGTTTAATTTGTTTATATTTTTCTATCATAGACACCTTTTTTCCTTGTAGTCTTGTTCTTGTTCTTATTTCTTCTTTTGAATTTTCAAACACAACAAGCGCTTATGATAGTTTGTACATTAAAGGTGTATGAATTTTTTTTACTATCCTATCATTAATTTATTAAAACTAGTATCTTTTCTTAAAAAGTCGAATGTATATATTGAAAAGAAAAATGGAAGAATATTAATTTACAAATTTGCACTTCTTAAAATTTGAATTATTGTGAATATGCCAAAGCATTCTACGTAGTACATGGTCGATGTTGTTAAGCAAGTGAGATTTCAAGGTAGAAGTTGGCGTGTAAAACATTGTCAATAACTAAAAATGTCCACGCTGGGGCCATCTGTAATCGGTAGTTGTGATTTGTGAGGCTGCTGCTTTTTATCTGATTAATAAAATCAGCTTTGGTACAGTGAGGGGTCAGACCATATAAGGATCCTTCTTGACTTGCTAAAATGCTACTATATCATTTAACATAAATCAAAATTGACACTTGTCCCTAAGCTACGTGTATGGTCTTGAATTGGGCTGACCTAATGACAAGGTCCTCAAACTAGACATCTCTAACTTAGCGTCTATTACATAAACACACGTTTTTTTAAGAAAAAAGTTATGTAAAAACAAACATTTCCTCATAAAGTTTTTTTTTTCCTGATTAAAAATGACCTTGGGGAAAAAATGGTTCTTGTGAAAATCGTGCCCCCTAGCTTGTTGTATTACATTTTCTAGATCTGTACCGTCCTTTGCAGTATTATAGTTGACCTTTATGCTTGCAAAATACTTGTTCAATCCTTCTACTCAGGAAACTTGTGAGCTGAGTTTTCTCCATTTTGGACATCTAATTGCAAAATGAAATTTTTAAGAAGAGAAAAAAAAAACAAATATAGCTTTCTCACTAATGATTAATAAGAAAAGTTTAACAAAAAGGTTAACCCGACATAACCATTATTAGAAGTTCAATTACTGAACTATGTGACAATTTCCTTAAAAAGTTCTTTAGGTATACATATTACAATATATAGAAGCGAGATATTAATTTATTAGTTAATTTAAAGGACATCCTACATTGCACATTCTGACTAATATGCATTATTTACTCCACGATGATCTATCAGAAACAGTATCTCTACCTACACAAGGTAAATGTAAGGTTTACGTATATACAATCCTCTTCATACTTGACTTGTGGGATTACACCTGAGTTTATTGTGTTGTTGTTGTTATTGTCTAATGTACATTATTTTGTTGGACTGTATATCTGTTTTTTAATCATATATCTAGATCCTCAAATAATGTACATTGAGGATATATATATATATA